ATATATCGGCCCACTAACGGTGAAGAAAATTCATTCTCTCGTAATCACAGATTTAAGAGTCAAACGAGGTAAATATTACCGCAACGTTCACGTGCACGACTTGCGCCTCGTCTCCGATAACAAAGGCAAAGAAATCAATAGTATCACGACCACGATAACAAATAACACAAAGTAAGTGACGGGAATACCGACGTGTCTTACCGAACAAAGAAGCAGCATCCGACAAAAGACTATAAAAGGCGAAGGAACCCAGTCCACCGAAAGTAGATATCCAGACATGGAACTCGATAACTATATTGAAGAACTCGCCGAGATCTTACTGCGCACGGACGACGACGCCGCCCGAGTATGGCAACGCGTGACTCAGACGGCCGAAACCGCCTACACCGACCCGACGCCCGCAGCGGGCAGCAGCACGACGGACATTCCGGGCACCTCTGCCGACAACATCCGGACGCCGGTACTAAGACCACTGCCGAGTCTGACCAGCGAACCGCCGCCCTTAGCACCACTCTCCCGACCACCCGGGAAACCGACATCTCGCTTCAGCGAGACCGAGCCGGAAGAAACTAGGGCCGTCCACACACCAACAGTCAGAATGCGGAACCAGCCACCACCTCGACTACCCGGGAGCACCAGTAGGCCCCAAAATGGTCCTAAGATCCGACCAGCGCTTCCAGGGTTAGTCGACCTGGCTCATAGAGCCGCCATCGCCGCCCAACGCGGAATCAAGGAACTAACCACCGGCCCACCAACAGAGCCAGCCGCACCGGAGGGAACCATCCCCGTTATTACATTGGACGAGTCTGTTATCACGCCACCAACAACAGCACGCAGTATGCCGTCGCTCGACGACGACGGACCGGGAGCAATGCCCGTCGTCCAGGCCGGGCCCACCGTACGATCCAACGAAACTTTTCGCGGGAGGCTCCGTATGGTGAAAATCACGTCAACGCCGCAAGTTAAAGTCCAGCCTACCATCCGGCTGCCGGTACAAGGGCCCGCGCTACCACCACTGGTATCTATCCTCCTGGCAACCGGAGAGCTGTGGCACGTTCCATATTTTTCGGTAAATGTGTCCTGGAAATACCGCCTTCGTACCCCCGAAGGACGATGGAGCCTGCGGTTCAATCGGCAGGGACGGCTGCAGTACGCTAACCGCATCGGCTAAAAAGGCTTTTAACCGTCCACTTAGCGTCTTAAGAAGGGGGTGGGTAATGTAACGATACATCCAAGCGATCGTATCGTTACGCTGACTGCCGCTGAACATCACGTGGCAGTCAGCTGAGCGCGCACCCCCCGACCTGCGCTGTCACCGCGCCTTTCGAAGCGCTCACTCGAGTCTAGCCGAAGACCCGCCAGCAACGCTCTGGAACGATCGGCCGCCGAGCCAGACTCGCGGCGCCGCCGAGACGATCCTCGGCGAACGTCGCATACTCACGATTAATCTCGATCAAATTCGGATTAATCAACGAAAGGAACCGAAGACGGAAAAAAACGAGTATATAATCTCGACAGTTTTTGACAAGGAGTCAGTCTTGGGATAGGCTTCAAGCAGTCTTTGGAGAGTCTTCGAAGAGTCTGAGGAAATCCATCGTCTACGAATAACCATCAAAAAATCTGCAGAGCGCCTCCAGGATATTGAGAGTTTCGAGTAAGTAATCCACCAGGCCGCCACCGTCGGCATCGGCGATTGCTTCTTGTTCTTTGCAATATAGCAATCGAACGGCAAGTTTGCCGTTGCTCCGGTGTGTTTTCCGGAACGATTCTCTTTGTGCCGCCTTTGCGATATAGAGATCGAACGGCGAGTTTGCCGTTACTCCGGTGTGTTTTCCGGAACGATTCTCTTTGTGCCGTCTTTGCGATATAGAGATCGAACGGCGCGTTCGCCGTTGCTCCGGTGTGCTTTCCGGAACGATTCTCTTTTGTGCCGTCTTTGCGATATAGCGATCGAACGGCGAGTTTGCCGTTGCTCCGGTGTGTTTTCCGGAACGATTCTCGTTCGTGCCGTCTTTGCGATATAGAGATCGGACGGCGAGTTTGCCGTTGCTCCGATGTGATTACCGGAACGATTCTCGTTTGTGCCGTGTTTGCGATATAGAGATCGAACGGCGAGTTTGCCGTTGCTCCGGTGTTTTCCGGAACGCTCTCATAAATATATTTGTTTTGTTTCTTCCTCTCTACTTCCTATAGGACTCAGAGCAAGTAAGGATACAAGGGCAGAAAGAGTTATCGTCCACATCTACTGACTATCCGGCGCGGCCGCCGGCCCGGAATAACCCTATCAGAAAAGCGCATCGCGTCTTCCAAAAATCGACCGACGACCACGGCGAATAGAACCGGGGATCAAGCCCGATAGGCATTGCGAACCTCTCCCATCGTCAATAACACGAAGAAACAAAGCGAATAATTACGGCGTGTCGAAAAACAAGCGCGAGCCTTACGCCCGACGCACGCCATAACTATTGTGCGCGCACCATAAAGCGATAACGCGGCTCGACGCGACGCGTTTTTGCGCACTTTCTTCTATACACCGACAGTCAGACGAGACGAAGACTCGGCCTTTAAAAGCCAACTAAAGGCTGCGACGACGCCCGCAAGAAATTTCTATTTCTGCCGATGCCCGGACCCTCCGCCAGCGAGTCTTTCTTTTTCTTGTCCATTAACTGTAAATCCTCTGTATTAAAATAATTACTGCTGATACGCTCTAGACAAGTCGAGAATCACGCATTAGACAAAATACCATCACGTAAACACGGCAGCTTCCAGAGACGGCGAGCATGAGCGAAACAAAGCCGCGCGTTGAGACAGCACCCAAACAGTGGGAATCTCGCGCAATAACACGCGGTCATTGCATGCTGAAGCAATAAAATAAAGCGTCACTGTCTATGAACACCGACCGACTTCAATTATTCACCAAGATCACCTTCTCCTAATAAATATTTGCGCGCGATTCGCTGCCAATGATCGCAACGCAGGGATCGATAAAGAAAGCGAACCCGGAGGCGCGACCGTTACAGAGTCGTTATCAGACCACCAGATCATAGAGATAAGACTATCCGTCACTCCTAATGGTCTGCGGCTCAGGAAGAAGAAAGATCCCCAACCAACAAGATGGGCCCTGAGCCAGCTAGACTCGGAGGCGTTGGACGTCTCCTTAGAGGCTACCACCTGGCCACAATGGACAGAGAGGCAAGATCTGGACTCTGCTGTGGCAGAAGTCATGGGCCTGATCACACGCGCGTGTGATCAGGCCATGCCTAAAATCAGGTCCTGCCCCAAAAGTGCCGCCTAGTGGTGGACCGACGAAATTGCGGAGCTAAGGAGAAAGTCGGTCCACCTCAGGCGGGTCTTTAGGAGGGCCCGTAACAAATGGCCCTCAGACCGAGGCAATTCTGTCCGCCTGAACAGAATACTGTATGGCGGTGCGAGCACTGCGCAAAGCTATGGGGTTGGCCAGGGGAAAAGGGTGGGACAACCTCCTTCTTTCATTGGATCTCTCGAACATCAGAAGGAGGTACCGGTGGTCGCAGAGGAGGAGGTGGCTGGGGCCATCCAAAATGTAAAGAGCCGGAAGACATCCGGACCCGTGCTCACCCTCACCACGGGGTTTGTAGCAGGAACAATGACCGACCTATTCTAAAAGGCCCTCAAAGAGGGAATATTCCCTCCAGTCTGGGAGAGGGCCAATGTGGTCCTCCTTCGAAAAGAGGGCAAAGCGGAGGACTCCCCCTCCGCGTACCGCCCCATATGCTTCTTCGATGAGGCGAGCAAAGTCTTCGAGCGAGTCATCGCTGCCCGCCTCACGGAGCTAATGGCCCGGATAGGCCCAGATCTCGATGACGGCCAGTTTGGCTTCCGAGAGGGTAGATCGACAGTGGACGCGATTACGTGCCTAAAAGCCCTCTCGGAGGCCATTGTAATGGAGGACAGGGTGGCGGTTGCTGTGTCGTTAGACATAGTAAACGCATTTAACACCCTGCCCTGGGGTAGGGTGGTGGAGGCTATGTCCCAATATTTTAAGTTCTCACCCTACCTCACGGCCGTCATCGTAGATTACTTCCGGGGTCGGCGTCTAACATGGAGAGACGCCGACGGCAGTGTACGCGAGAGAGGGATGAGTTGCGGGGTTCCGCAGTGGTCCGTTTTGGGCTCACTCCTGTGGAACCTCGGATACGATGAAGTCCTCCGGGTGGCCTTCCCTCCGGCTGCAGTATCATCTGCATAGCAGATGATGCGCTGATCTTGGCCGGGGGGAAAGACTGGTGGGATGCGGTACGAACCGCCAACTTTGCGGTGGCATGCGCCGTGCGTGCCATTCGCAGACGACCTGACGGTGGCAGAAAGGAAGACTGAGGCCATATTCTTCCACAGGAAGGGGATGAAGCCACCTCAGGCGCAGCTGCAGATGGGGAGAGTTAGGGTGCCGATAGAGGCCCAGATGAAGTATCTGGGCCTCACACTGAACGGCACCTGGTGCTTCAAAGAGCATTTCAGCCGCCTGGTCCCCCGATTGAGGATCGTGTCGATCAACTTGGGCAGGTTAATGCCCAATATCGAGGGACCAGATTGGAAGGCGCGTCGCTTCCACGCTGAGATAATAAATCATTAGCCCTGTACGGGGCGCCCATTTGGGCCGAGGCCCTGGCTGTCAGCCGCCAGTCTCAGGCGGTGCTGCGCAGAGCGCAGTGAGTAGTGGCGGTCAGGGCCATCAGGGCCTATAAAACGGTATCCCACGTAGCGGCGACGGCCCTGGCGGGCTTGCCTCCTCTGGAGATCCTCGCGCTCATGTACAGATCCATGTACATGAGGAAGGGGAAGCTCCGGAGGACGTTAGTGGTAAGAAAGTCGCTCGCCAGGGCGCTGCTGCGCTCGAAGCACCAGGTTCGGCTCCTTCTCTAACGCTGGCAGAGGCGTCTATTAGACGCCAGATACGGGAGAAGGAGCGTCGAGGCCGTCCAACCCTGTCTGCCCAGTGGGTGGACAGGGACTTCGGAACCCTAACATTTAGTATGACACAGGTACTCACCGGGCATGGCTGCTTTGGTGAGTACCTGTGTCGAATCGGAAAGAAACGCACGGCGCAGTCACCACTGCGAGGCTGACCATGACTCCGCGCAGCACACATTACAGGACTGCCCCGCATGTGAGGCGGAACGCAGGATCATGGTCAGAGAGCTGGGTCCTGATCTCTCACTCCCCAGAGTGATTAACACCATACTGGGGAGTGAGAGAAAGTGAGACATTTTCTCCTCCTTCTGCGAGGCAGTGATCTCGCAGAAGGAAGAGGCGGAAGAGACACGCCGGCAGGCAGAGGGCAGGGGGAGGGCGCAGTGGAGACGGCAGCGCCGTCGGTTGCAGTGTCGCTCCCCCAGCCGAGAAGGAGACGCCTCTTCCTCGGGAGAGGAGGCGGTCAGGCGTCTGGTGGGACGCCCCCACCACCCCTTCCATCTCCACCACCTCCTCTACCTCCTCCACCATCCTTTTTTTATTATTTTGGTAACGCAGGGGAAATCCATCATGGATACCCGCGTCCCGTTGGGGGGTCGGGGGTTGTCAGATTTTTACTGACTAAAACCCCTGCGGGACGTCTACCAACTGGACCGTGATGAGGGGAGTTAGGGAAACTGCTCCCGCATGCCCTCTCCAACACCCCGACCCCAGGGCTCTCCGGGAACCTCACGCCATCGAGTACCACACCCTGTCCCACTGAGGGAGTCCAGGGTGCGGTCCCCCGGTCGGTTTCCCGATCGGGTTGACCTTCTGGTGATTACTTGGAGGGAGAGTGCATCCACCCTCCCTCCGCGCGCTCCATTACTCCCCTCCGAGGGAGGGGGCGGGGGAATGGAGGCCAGCCCCACCCAGGCTTCCACACCCCCCTTATCCTACTTTAACCGACGCGCCAGGCGAGAGATGAGTGGGTACTAAACACCCGTATACGCCCTCTCCCCCGCGTCCGAAGTTGGGCCCGAGGTGGCCGAAGAGGCGATCTCCGGCGTGCCGGCGGCCTGTCCTCTTCCTCGGCTGGCGCCTCCTCGGGCCCACAGCCCAAACTTGGGGAGCGCCGCCCTCCATGGCGCTGTCTGTGGTGGTCTACGGGGTGACGCTCCCATTCGGCGGCCTCCTTCCGCAACAGCACGCTGCGGCAGAAGGAGACCGCTTCTCCCCATACCTCCTCGCTCCCGCACATGGCTCTTGCCATGCGCGGGAGCGACAACTCGTCCTCCCCGCACCCCACTGCCCGGGCCAGGACACCGCGCTCCCTGACCCATGCTGGGCATTCGGCCAGGGTGTGATGCACGGTGCTATTCGGCTCCGGGCAGTGGTGGCACCCGGTGATGGGCTCCTTCTTTATCCATTGCAGGTAATGACCGAAACAGCCGTGTCCGGACATCACCTGCACCAGCTGGAATGTCAGTACGCGCACCCTCCTGCCTACGAATTTTTCCAGGCAGGGGCGGACAGCCGTTGTCGTGAGTTGCCCAAACTCCCGCGGGGTTGAAATCGCGTCCGCCCAATGCTCCAGTGTCCGGGCAGCCATTCGGGACCTGAGATCCCTCAAAATACTGGCCGTTAGTAGCCCCCTATCGCGGAGCGGAGCACCTTGACTCTCCAGTAGAGGATACTGCGTTCCCCGGCAAGGAGCTCCACGGGGGGGGCCGACTCAGGTCGTCGCCACCATATATGAAACGGAACGGAACCCCCGAATCGCCCTCACATCTACCACCCTCAGCGCTTAACGCATGAGGTTTTTACCTTGGGTGGTGGCCAATAGTTGGGGCGCCCATATCGGCGCCCCATAGAGGGCGATCGAGAGAACCACCCCAACATATAGGCGGCGCGCGTGTCAACCCGGACCCCCTGGGTCTGCATCAGTCTGACCAGAGTCAGACCTGCCTTCCTGATCCGGGGCCGGGTCCCTAAAATGGGTCCTGAAGTCCCATCGGCCGTCCAACGTCAGACCCAGATACTTTATCGTGGGCCCGTCACGGACGTGGACTCCGTCCACTAAGACCTGGGTCTCCGGCAGCGCTCCACGGCAGCCCTCGTGAAAAAGCCGGCCTCCGTTTTTCGGGGCACCACCTTTAGACTCAGGTCACTTATGGTGCCCACCACCGTTGCCAATGCCACCTCCGCGTTGAGGCGGGCCTTCCCCCAGTCCACCTCCTCGGCCAGCACCAAGGTGTCATCCGCATAACAGATGATATGGCAGCCGGGGGAGAGGGGCGTTCGCAAGACCCTATCGAACCCGATGTCCCATAGCAGGGGGCCCAGAACGGACCTCTGCGGGACACCGCGTTCCATTAACCGCCGGCCCTGGACCCCGCTCTGACCCGAATGGACGAGGTCCTGTCCTCGAAATAGGCCGCCAGAATATGCCGGAAATGGGCAGGCACTCGATGGTGCTCGAGCGCCCGCCAAATCTCCAGCCAGGGCAGGGTGTTGAAGGCATTGGTGATATCTAAGGATACTGCCAACAACACCCCGCCCCTCTCCTCCACGACGGCGTGGGTCAGGTCCCGGACGTGCTGTACAGCGTCCAGCGTTGAATGTCCGGGCCTGAATCCATATTACCTGTCGTGGAGGTCCGGCTCATCCGAGGACATATGCCGGACGAGGCGGTCCGCGACGATGCGTTTCAGCATCTTGCCTGCCTCATCCAGCAGGCAAATCGGCCTGTATACCGGCGGTCCGTCAGGCGTCCTGCTCGACTTCGGGAGGAGGACCAACTTCACCCTCCTCCACTCCGGGGGAAGACCTCTTACCTGAGACATCCGTTGAACAAGCCCCACATGGCTGCGGCCATGTTCCCTTCGCCGAGAGTGAGAGCCCAGGCGCGGTCAGGAATGCCGTCGGGACCAAGGGCTTTACCCTTGGCCCACGGCTTCTTCCTAGCCCTGGGGAACCCCTCTGGAACGACCCCCAGGTCCTCGTCCCAATCTTCCTCCTCCGGGGCTGGAATCCTAGGGGGACCCCCGTCCACCCTCCGAAAGAGGGTGTTGAGGAGCCCCTCAAGGTCCTGTGGATTCATCAACTCCATCGGCGGGGACACCCACGGACAGATCTTTCCCACCGTCCGTTTGTACGGGCGCCCCCACGGGTCTTCATCCAGGGAGCTCACCAGTTGCTCCCAGACTCCCTTTTTAGCCTCGGCTATGGCGGCCTTGAGGGCTTCTATTGCCTATAGATAGCCATCCCTCTCCCTCACGGCATCCCCGTCATTTCGCCGGGCCCGAGTAAACTCCCGTCTGGCTCGGATAGCAGCCTTTCGCAATTCAGCGATATCTGCCGTTCACCAATAAGCAGCCCGGCGCCGACGGGGCTGGGATCGGGCTAGCATCGCAACGTCGCAGACCAATGTTACGATGCCCACCAGTTTCCTAGCCCCCTCCGGGGATTAGTCTCCCACTCACCTGGCCCTTCACCTAAGTGCCAGGTGGCCGCGATGGCGGCTGCCCGGAACATGTCCGCGTCGAGATGACTGAGGGCTCATTTCGGGGAGCGGATCCCGGTTCCCGCCTTAGGGCGGCAGTCCAGCACCTGCGGAGATGCTCGGGGACCGAGGGCCCAAAGAACATATCTGCGGTCAGACAAATTCTCGCCGGCCGTCCTTGTGGCCACCTGGCACCTAGATGAGGGGCCAGGTGCGTGGGACCCCAGACAGATAGCGTAAGGGGGAGTAACCCCAGTAGGGGCTGGGCCCACTCCCAAAAATCTCCCCTCGTCTAAACGAGGGGGGTGCGGGGAAGGGCGGATGTCCCCTTTCTCCTTAGGTGAAACCAGGAGGCCAACTGGCCAGGAAGCTGGCCAGGGACCTTCGCGGCTCCCACTAATTTTCCTCGGTGAGGAAAAGGGGGGCGCGGTACTAGAGGCGAGGGGCTCCCCGAGAGCCCTGGGCCGGGGAGGGAATACGGGAGTAGTTCCCCTGACTCCCCCCACCACGGTCCGACAGGTATACATCCCGCAGGGGTTTTACCCAGTAAGAGTCCGGCATAACCCCCGACCCCCCTAAGGATCGGGGGTATCCATGAGGATTTCCCCCGCGTCACCAAAAAGAAAAAAGACAAGTTCTCACCCCCGGTCACCACCGTCCACTCCCAGAACATCCGGGCGGCCGAAGGGGAGGACCCGATCAGATCAACGACTGACTCCCCACTCGGCCGCACAGAGGTGCTGGCCGACTCCCTGTTCATTAACAGGAGGCCGAGTCCCGCCGCCCAACCAATCACGGCGTCGCACCTCCGGGGATCCCCCTGCCGGGGACTGCAGCCCCACTCCGTAGAGTTAGCGTTGAAATCCCCGGCAACTACGACGAGTCGGGGGTGGCACTGCCGCACCACGTCCCCGACCTTGTCAAGGATCCCCATTACGTAGGACGATTCGCCGAGACCGGCCTCATTTTTGCGGGGACGTAGATACACCTCCACTGTAGTAACGGGCCCCCAGTCAACCGCCACGTACGCGGTCTCCTTCCTGCATTTGCAGGGAGGGGACCCCGTGGCGGGGTGTGCCACCACGGCCACCCAGCCGTCCTGGTTTCCGAACCAGTCAGGGCTGGATATTGGGATCCAGGACGGCTCGGCGACCAACCCTAGCCCGGCCCCCAGTTCTCCCAGTCCGTGGACCAGGAGATCCTGGGCTCGTCAGCCGCGGCCAAGGTTGGTCTGTAAGACCCGAAGAAGGGGCGTGAAAGCTAGGCTTTTAACCCCTCCTCCGGGCTACCTACCTCTACCCCCTCAGAGGGAGCTTCAGGCAACACGAGTGTCACACCGGCTCCATCTGGAAGGGTTTTGGCCGTGATGGCTTCAACGTCTATATATATTTAACGCCTCATAATCGGATTTCTCCGCGGAGGTGCAAGGAATCGCTACCTCAGTGTCCCCCTCCTCTGAGGAGTATAAGGAGGGATCCACCATATCGGGAGCCAAAGTGGACGTAATCTCCGAGTCCCCTTCTTCTATGGCAGTTGGGGGTGTGCTCTTTGGCACCACCCTCCTTACCTTCTCGGCCTCCATTGGCCGGCTTCCCCCTTCCCAGCCACCTGGGCGGGGCGTGAGGGGTGCAGGGAGAGCGATGGTTGAAGATGAGCCTAGGCCCGTTTCCCCCCTCTCCTGAGAGAATGGAGGTTGAAGATGAGCCTCAGCTCGCTTCCCCTCTTCCGACACTCCTCGGGGAAAAATGAAGTTCAGCGTCAGGACTCGGGGCCTCGATTACAGTTACGTGGCCCCGGGGCCCCGAGAACAGTCCCATCGCAACGCCACCCGGCGAGGTTTTAGCCGGTAAGAGTCGGGCATAACCCTCTACCCTTTCCCGAGGGTGGAAGGTATCCATGATGGATTTCCTCCTCGTTTAAAAAGATAAAATAGGTTAATAAAAATAGTCCCCCGTGGACGCCACCTTTTATTATTTTTTTTGGTAACGCAGGGGATATTCATTATGGATACCCCTCCCCCGTGGGCGCCGCCTTGACTTGGTGGGAGAGCTTGAAGGTCCCGATGACGTACAGAGCGTGCCGACGGGGGTTTCGGTCCCTGGCAGGTTCTACCATGCCGGAGTGGACTATACTGAGGGACTGGACCAAAAGCGCCCGATCAGGCTGGATGACCGACCTGATCTTGACCAGAATGGTCATAGAGCAGATGGGAGGAGAATATCATCCCTGGAGGCATTGCACGCCGGTGCTCCGGCAGCCAATAGGAATGACCTCGTCAGCACCCGCTCCAGGAAGGGGACCTCATTCTCTGAGGCATTGCACGCCGGTGCTACTGCAGTCAAAGGGAACGGACCACTCCCTTGCCCATCTCGATTCAACCGTTACAGTTAGACCGGGATGGAAGGACGTACTCGCACCCAGGGCTCCAACCCATGGAGATCCTCCCCCCATGGTGCCAGGGAAGCGGAGGAGTGCTCCAGGCCACTCGGAAGTATTCCGAAGTCGGCGTCGAGGCACCCTAGCACGTCCTAAGAGGACCCACTCTGAGAGGCATTGCGCGCCGGTGCTCCGGTAACTAAAAAGAGTGAACCTCTCTCCCTCATCTGTCCTGGCCACGGCCAGGCAGATGGAGAATCCCACACCCAGGTCTGCACACCATGGGGTGTAACCCCATGGTACCCGGGAGAGTGGGGTCACTCGGACCGCTCGGACTTATTCCGAGGTCGGGTTTGAGACCCTAGGGCGAAGAAGGGAAAGGACCCCACCTTCGGAGGCATTGTACGCCGCTGCTCCGGCAGCCAAAGAAGGTGGGCCTCCCCGCTATCCCTCAACCGTCCGGCTTTAGCAGGGTGGAAGTAGAAACCCACATCCGGGTGTGCACGCCATGGGGGTTAAACCCCCATGGCACCCGGGTGGTGGGGGAGTGCCTTGGACTCCCCGTGGGCGCCACCTTGTCGTGGTGAGGGGGCTTGCGTGTCCCGATGATGTACAGGGCTGTACCGGCGGGGGTTTCGACCCCTGGCAGGTTCTACCATGCTGGGGTGGCCTGTACAGAGGGACCAGACTAAGAGCGTCTATAATACTCCTGGATGGGCAGCTGCCTCCAG